TCAATAATAATCTTTTAATATCTATCAAACAGTAGCGTTAAAATTAAACTTTTAAATGTTAGATCTTAACAAACACAGACTTCATTATTAACAATTTATAGCGTATAAGAAGTAGCAATCTTTTTTTCACATCTTGAGAAAATGTCGATCTTGAGGGGGTATAAATTGTTCATAGCTATTATCAAGCCTAAAGCGCTTTCGTCAGTTCTAATGATGATCACCGAATATTCCTGTTGCAGAGATTGATGGGCTGTAAATAAGAAGATTGCGCGATGCTTCCAATTGAATTTAGGAATAAACCTAAATTTTGTCCAGGTTAACATCTAGTTATCATTATTAAAACTTAAGTCGAATATGAGGCTAACAAAACAATAGTATTCTGAGATAAGCATTTCTAGTATCTGCTGCCGGTGGCTGATAGAAGTTTTGTTAAAACTACTTAAGACTAGATATGATAATCTCTTGTTGACACTTTACAGAAAGCTTTATAATGTATACGCCTATAATTGCTATATATAAGCAGTTATTTTACGTTACAGGTTTTAGCAATCACAATGTAATGTTATTAATTTTATTTGCAAATATTCGTATAGTGACAATTGTATTTACCATCCAGTAATAATTCCCAAATTTTAAGCATACATCTGCGAAATTGTAATGCAGGTGTAAAGCCAAATATAATCACTACGCTATTTCTGTCCGGATATTGAATGTTAGGAAATAAGTCATGAATTATTTTTTGTCTAGCTTAGACATGTAGTCTGGTAACAACACGTTCTGTTAATATATGAGAACAACGAATTTATTTATTGATGTTTGTAAATAATTCAGACTAGGATGGCGATGTTTGTTTTTCATTGAATATTACCTAAGCAATTTTTATGCTAGCAATAGACACACATTGATGTATTCCCAATTAGATAGAATTTGTTCTTTACTGTTAAAGTACTAATATGCCAAATCTAAATATTTTAAAAATATTATTCATAGGATGACTAAATTAGCAAAGGTGAATAATGATCACTCAATTATTCCATTAGCAGTTACCTAAATTTGTATAATATTGAATAGCAGAGCTCTATCCACTTCAATTAATTTAATACTGGGCCAGTCGCAACTGAAAATAATCTCTTAATATCTAGGTTTAACTAGGGTGAGTGTCGGATATTTCTGCAATCAGTTGAAATACGGCAAGCCTCAATATCGAGCAGTGAGATCATTACCAGGTGGAAAAATTTCTCTGCATTGTTAATTTACCGGAAGAAAATATAATCTTAAACAATTTACCATCAATGGTTAATAGATTAAATAATGCTCAGTATAATAACTTTGAAATTTATTGTCAGCTATAGACGTCAAACAGTTCACCTGCATTGAAAAATTTTTGTTGTAAATTAAAATTACATCCAATTCTAATCGACATCTTAATATGCTGGTATCTAGGTTATTATAACATGTTTTAGTCTTGAACTAATTTGATTAATTTGTTATTTTATAAGGAGGTGTTAAAAAAATATTATATTTTTATTTAGCTCAATAGTCTCTGTATGAAAATTAAATCATTGGAATAATTTTGTTAGAGCAAAACTGTGCCTACCTACTATTTGATCCAATTAATTATATAAGAAAATTTCTTGGAGCAATTTTGAGCAGGTTAGAGATTATGTTGTTTATCTAAGTTGAATCTAAAGACCATGTGCTATAGTATAGTCTTTAAATTGATTGTTATTTTATCATTTTACTATAGCTGCATTCATTGATTTAAATTGTTAACTTTCATTATTGAAAGGATTTGTGCTACGAGTATATGCGTAAGCAGGTTACTATTGAAATATACTACAATACAATTTTTAGCGTTTCTTTTCCTTAGATAAAGTGAAGAAAAATTAATTCAGTTAATTAACATCTTGCTATTGCTGAATAAAGTTACAGAAATAGTATGCCTTGTTTTGAACGCAAATGTCATTTGAAAAATAGATTCATGAAACTTGGTCATTTTAGTAATATAATTTAATAGCTGAAGTGCAGTCTTTTTTTTGCAAAGTCAATTCTAATTTCAGTAAACAGATGGCGAAAAGTTGTATGATGTGAAAATGAGCGATTAGTTAAATACAGCATTATTAAATATCTATTTATCGCGTTAGAAATATATTTGCTAGAATAATCAGGAATATGAGATCGTAAGAAACCTACTCATTTTGAAATGAAAGTAAGTTTAGATTAACCAGGACTTAAAAAGATACTATTTTTGAGTGCTTTTCACAAAAATACAGTGATAACGAAAAGTTATAAAAGTCTCTTATTTTAACAGGATTGCATTGAATACTTTTTGACAAATCAATCGAAAATAGATTTTAGAAGACATTGTAATAACAAAAGATTCTATGATTCTATCTTTTACATCCAAAGTTCTCTATCTGTATTACATGAAATATAATGGTCTATTATTATAATTGATTTTCAAGATAGGATCTATCGTTGGATATAGAAAGCGATTATAGCAATTTATCATCTCACTTATCTATTAGTCGACAATCTTTATCGATACATCAGCTGTCATACAATATTATTAGATGTCAAACAAGTATTTGGTGCTCACCAATGCGTACTATCATCATTTAATTTTTTTCAGCCAGCATTTAATTAAAGCTGGACGCTTATTTGCAACCGCTTTTCACATTGATACTTTAATTAATAGACTGTTTTACAGATTATATTACTACACTTTTTGGGGTTAATAGTGATAATTGTCAATCAAAATGATCACCTTTATCAAGTGCAATGTTCATTACGGATCTCCTCTACTTGATTTGGATTTAGTATATCATAATTTGAACCGCACTAAGTTGAAATTAAAATTGAAATTACACTTCGATCTTTAAAATCATGTTCTATTTGTTAAATACAATAAAATTAAATTACGGACATTGTTTCTTGGGTATCAATAAATAAAATTATTTTCGATTTTTGACCGTCATTAATCATTAGTGGTACAAAAGAAGATCATAATGAATTAATAGGATACCTATACGTATTATAGAATAAGAATGATGTAAAGTGATTAAAAACAATTGATCATGGTTTTTCTGGTTAAAATAGTGCAGATTTTTGCTATCCTAATCGTAAAACAAAGACGTCAATAACTACTTGAGTACAATCATTATTATCTAAATGAAAATAATGTATTCATATCTACTGAATATTCGATCTTAATTGTAAGAAAGGCTAATTAAGGATTTAACACAACATGACAATTTTTTAAGGCGGATATTAGGATATTATTTATCTTTCGATTGCGGTTGCTGACATTGTCTATAATTAATGACTGTAAACTATGATTTTCATCCTTGAAATAGTTTGGTTCGTGGAAATCTTAATATAGACGCAATTATGATCTACATATATCAATGATTTAACTTCTCAACCTACGTATTTTGCTAGTAATGAAATCATGACGCCATCTATGTCGTCGATTATTTTCTATTCAATGTTGTGAATAGAAATTGTGCTAAGTTTAGAATGGCGATAAAATAGAACTATTTTTACTATATTTCTAGCTAATTCTAAGATGAAAGAATATATTATCAGACAATACTTTATTTTAACTAGGTAGTAAAAAATGATCAAATAAAGCACGGCAAAGGATTGGAAATTTAAATTATCTTCGTTTATTAGCCTTTAAAAGATTTCGACAAAAGGATGCTATATTTGCTAAATATATCTTATCAAAACAGAAGATAATGAAATTTATTTCTATGAAATAGCAAAAAATAGCTTGAATAATCTTATTCTCTTTTGATTTAATGCTTTATTTTCAATTCATTCCAAAGATCAATTCACATGCAGAATCATTGTGTGGATAAACCTATATAAGGTTTGTACTAGCTGCATTTGCTATCATAATTCATCAAAGAAGTTTGCGAACGAACATTTGAATCAGTTTTAAATCAATTTTCTTTCCAAAGTTAACTACAGATATCCAAAAATGAAATATTTAGCCGTTGTAATCGTAAGTTCACTCTTTACTATTCATGTTGTAATAACATACCTTTTTGATTGATAGAATGATCCTGGAGTATGTAAAATTAACTATATCAGCTATCAGTACTTTCTAAAATAATGTCTGACAATTTCATCAAAGTCGGTGCTTGCAATTTTAGAATATGCAGCGTATACTTTCAAACTATTGTACGTATTACAATACTGGAAGCTGCTGTCTACAATTATTTCAGAAACTCTTAATAGTCATTTTATGACCCGAAACTTGATAGTCATTTCTAAAAATAATTGTGTGATGTGATGATATGTACTGAATTACTGTGCTTTCGCAGCTAAGATTTCAGTTTAGAAAGTAGTCATATTCACCTGTAATGAATTTTAAGTACCGATACTTCTGGCAGCTATTGTAATGTAATAAACAATAGCCAAATCAATTTCTAAAAGCGTTGTATTATAAATAAATTAACAAAAACTTTACTTTGTAAATTATCTTCTAGTTTGCTTTTGTCGCCGTTGCTATTGCAGGTAAGAATACGAAATCGCTAAGCCCAATACGTGTTAAACTAATACTGATGAATGTAAATTTATCAAAGAATGCAAATTTTCGCTGATACCCATTATCATTCTTAGCCAGACAGTACAAAACTCCAGAAAACTGCTTTATCATATTATGATAGTTTTAGCTGACATTTATTAGATGAGAAGATCTATGTCCATATAGAAACGCTAGTGATTACTTATTACTATTTACTAGCAATATTGAAGTCGTAATCATTTCGGAAACCTTAAAAGTCAAATGTCTAGTGTGAAATGTTTGTAAAATGTCTTTGAAGATACAATTTCATTTCGATCTTAAACACCTTACACCGTACTATATATCGATTGACTATTTATTCTGCAACAATAAAGGCAATCTTTAGTACTATACTCTAAATTTACTTACGTTGATATATAATGTTTTACTAACATTACTTTCTTTTCTTATATTTTTCTATCATTAGCCCCAGCACTCCAAGAAAATAGTAAGTACAATATAGGAATTAAATTATTGCTAATCTACGTTATAATTATTCTTATTCTATCTTATTTCATTTTGCTTTTTAATATTAAATTTAAAAAATCATTATATTCCATAGTCTATTTTATGCAGTTATACATATAATTGCTACCGTGTTGTTGATAAGTAAGTCCAAATAATTATTAAATTAATTATTAGAAATGTAATGAAGACCTTCTAAGTAGTGAATATATTTAAATTTTAAATAAGATCAAAAAGTGGTACTGCTTAGTAAATTTTCCATTATCAGAAGACAATGAAGGATAGATATTGGTTGAATTGCAGTTTATCACACAATAATCAGTGATTTACAAAGAATACATCATGTCATCCATTATAGTCACATTATTTAGATTGATATTAATTTGCATCATCTAAAAAAGCACTTAAATATACGGAAATGGACTCGTATTTCGATGTTCTTTATGGGACCGATATATTTTCTTTATTATATAGTTAGCTATTCTTTCAAGGTAAACTAAGCCAAAAAAATATTAATTTAGATGAACAATACTTTGTAATTTATCCAGAGAATTGAATTTCAATAGCGATATAATATTTCTGACTTCAAACAGGATTATAAATTAAAGTAGCAAATGACTGTGTTGGTACCATATTTTTGATATTCCTAGCTGATCCGAGCCGTAAGCTATGAATGATTAATCACAATAGTGAGATTTATACTTACGATTACAATGATAAATCGTGACTATATTTATACAAATTAAGGCTTGTGTTGATTGCCTCATTTTACAGTTATTACTGTATTGATCTGCTTTCAGAAATCCGATAAAATAGGCTATGCAGTAAATATTTACTTAGATATAAGTGTTTGAATTGAGAAAAATATCATTGAAAGCTAATTTATGCAATGCAAATGTAATTTTAATGCACTTGGGCAAATCAGTACTGTTAATATATAATTTCATGTTATGATTACTTTCTACCTTATTTAAATGCTATAAATATACTAGATGACGTTTTCAATGTAATTATTTAAAGTTAGTTTATTAACTTGCCAATATTGAAGTATTAGGTTATTACCGTTGATCAAATATAGCGAATACAATCCACTGCTACCTTTATTATTCTATAAACTGTAAAATCTTGTAAATTTTTTACAATTAAATTGCTAAGGTTAATTAGCGGATTGCATAGCTGGCTACATCCACTATAGAATTAGTAATTTTCAAAAAAATTTTCTATTGCCTATATATTGGTAATTTGCCGTATAAAATCTTTCAAATATTTAGATAGAGAAGTATATTCGTATAAGCTCGAATGAAAGAGTTGCATAGGTTTGATATTAAGATTGAACGACAAAATTTTTTATATTTTACGTTATCAGCTGAAATCGATTGGTTCGAAAATCGAGGAGACCACGGTAAAGAATATTAAAATCGTTTTAATTACACAAATTATGATTTGATCACATAATTTAAAGCTCCTATAATTATAGCATTATAACTAATTTTACTACTAGTTTGTCTACATATACATGCTAGAAAGGCTATTTTTAAGATGCTTGTTCTTTAATAAATTTACAGATCAACTACCAAGTATCTAGAAAAATTAACGTAAAACAAATTTCTAAATTACTATAGTCTCCGGGATTCAGTATTCCTTAACTACCTGATAAGAATTTCACACCTTTGCTTCTACGTTAAACAACTATAAAACTATTTTTTTATTCAACTATCTGCCAAGCTTAAATACCCTTCAGCAGCAGCTATCATGTATGAGTCATAACAGTACACAAAATTTAGCTCCTATCGGATAGCTAAATTAATACAGACATTATTTATAATTTAGAACATTTACTGAATGATTCTAGGTAATTAGACTACATTATATCCACACTCAGAATTATTTATAGTATCATCATTAATTGAATATCTGTAGGATATTCATCACAAGCGTTACTAGACATAACGTTATCATCAATTAATATAAGTTAACTTATGAGAGCTCTTACTACAATACAGCATAATTTACCATAATAACATAGTAACTACTGTAATTCTTACTGTAAGTCATTATTAGTTATCTCCATATACAAATGTTAAACACTAAATTTAGTCATTTACTCTCACGAAGGTTCGTACCGTGACAACGGAATATATGTATAAAATCATACCTTATTTCGATTGTACTTTAAGTAGTGAAATTTGATTTCCTAAATGATTCATGTAAATTATGATACTTTATTGGTTACTTTTTGTTATCGATAATCTCGTTACGAAAATAGTCAGCCTATTTAAGAAATATAAAAGAATACATAGTGCTAAAGTACGCTATAAAAAAGCTTATAGTAAACTTTAATTTTTACTGTTATTTTCATGCTTGGATATTACAGTGTGTTAGATAAGTAGTTTGTCTACTTATATATGGTAGAAAGCTTATTTTAAACATGCTTATTTTTATATAAATTTATAGACGAAAGGAATGATGACCTAATGTCATGTATGTACAGCGAATATACGTTAAATACCACACTTTATGTTGATTGCACTTTAAGTGGAGAATTTCGATTTACTATTTGATTCATTTAAATTATGAAACTTCATTGGTATTCTTTGCAATCTATAATCTCGCAACGTAAACAGACAACCTTTTTAAGAAACGTAAGAGAAAAGATGCTGCTATAGTTCATATAAAGACTTAAAAGAAAATATTAATATTTACTTCTATTTTCATGCTTTGATAATTAATCATAATTATTACAATAATTGCAGAGCAAGAAATTCCACCTGGCATGGGAGGTAATAAGTGTTCAAAAATAATAAATCTTACTATTAAATTTAAGATAACTACAAAATTTTCTTACAAAGCAAGAAAAACATTTATAATTCCGAAATGCTATTTACTCAATGTGTTTAATGCATGATTAATGCTGTATAACTTTAATTTTTTAATTGCTTTACAGTTAGTTTTTTCAAGAGAAAAAATTGTAAGTAGTGTTGTGTAACTGAACTATATTGCCGATTTTGGCCAAGTCAAGGAAAATATCTGACCATCTGACTAAAACTGTTTCAAATAATCTTACCTTTTATCCATGTTAGCCTTTCCTAATAGAAGTAAGGCATTGTTAATATACCTCAAAGCCTATTTCATTCAAATTAAGACCGTTCTTATCGATATCTAAACTTAAATCAATCTTTATACATTTATAGTGAACCAAATCAAGAGACAAGGTACGTAAGCTGTAATTTTTGATGTAAGAAATGGCATTTATTTCTCAATTATAAATAATGTCAATAATTTTTTTCCAATCGAACACTTTTCCATTTTTTCCGTCGCTACATTTAACCTCTAGACCGTAAGTTAAAATTTATTAGGAAGAAATAATTATAGAATTTGCAATACAGTACTTTACATAGTGGATATTTGCAATATGGCCTTCATTTACTAAGGCAAATTGATTCCCAACTAAAACACTGTTTTCAATATTTTTCTTCCATATCCTTTCAATCGTTAGCTAACCATAAGTCCATAATAAAATACAAATATCAACTGTATTTCTTTTAAAAGAGATTTTTAATTGCTTGATATCTAATTGATAACGTTTATTTTGCTTTATAGTTAGCTTATTCAAGAAGGAAGGTAATTTTTTAGATATTTGATGGCAGAAATGAAAATTTTCAGTCATTATTTAGTTAAATAAATCAATCTTAATCAAATCATTTTCTTGATAACTTCTGAACCATTAGCTGATCAACGTAAGTCTGTAAATAATCAGAAAAATAATTTTTTACATTCATGTTAAAGTAGAATTACAGTTGCTTAATTTTGGTTAACATCATATATTTTGCCTTACAGTTGCCTTTTTCAAGAAGGAAGGTAATTTTTCGATATTTGACGACAGAAAGAAAAATTTCAATCATTACTTACTAAACTAAATCATCCTTGATCGATCTTTTATTTTGGTATCCTATCAAATAGCTCCTACTCCCGGCTGTAAGTCTGCAATTAACTACGAAAACCAATTTTTGTATTTTATTTTGTAACAGAATATCAATAGCTAGTTATCTGATTGATACTGTATTTTCGCTTTACAGTTGCCCTTTTCAAGAAGGAAGGTAATTTATTAAATATTTGATAGCTGAAAGGAAATTCTAATCATTATTTGGTTTACTAAAATATTACTTATCAATCTTTTTCTTTGGTGTCCTATCAAATAGCTCCTACTCCCGGCTGTAAGTCTGCAATTAACTACGAAAACCAATTTTTGTATTTTATTTTGTAACAGAATATCAATAGCTAGTTATCTGATTGATACTGTATTTTCGCTTAACAGTTGCCCTTTTCAAGAAGGAAGGTAATTTATTAAATATTTGATAGCTGAAAGGAAATTCTAATCGTTGTTTGGTTTACTAAAATATTACTTATCAATCTTTTTCTTTGGTGTCCTATCAAATAGCTCCTACTCCCGGCTGTAAGTCTGCAATTAACTACGAAAACCAATTTTTGTATTTTATTTTGTAACAGAATATCAATAGCTAGTTATCTGATTGATACTGTATTTTCGCTTAACAGTTGCCCTTTTCAAGAAGGAAGGTAATTTATTAAATATTTGATGACTGAAAGGAAATTCTAATCGTTATTTGGTTTACTAAACTATTACTTATCAATCTTTTTCTTTGGTGTCCTATCAAATAGCTCCTACTCCCGGCTGTAAGTCTGCAATTAACTACGAAAACCAATTTTTGTATTTTATTTTGTAACAGAATATCAATAGCTAGTTGTCTGATTGATACTGTATTTTCGCTTTACAGTTGCCCTTTTCAAGAAGGAAGGTAATTTATTAAATATTTGATAGCTGAAAGGAAATTCTAATCGTTATTTGGTTTACTAAACCATTACTTATCAATCTTTTTCTTTGGTGTCCTATCAAATAGCTCCTACTTCCGGCTGTAAGTCTGCAATTAACTACGAAAACCAATTTTTGTATTTTACTTTGTAATAGAATATCAATAGCTAGATATCTGATTGATACTGTATTTTTTGCTTAACAGTTGCCCTTTTCAAGAAGCAAGGTAATTTATTAAATATCTGATGGCTGAAAGGAAATTCTAATCGTTATTTGGTTTATTAAACCATTACTAATCAATCTTTTTCTTTGGTATTCTCGTGTCTGTTAACAGACTGTAAGTCTTTAATTAACGACGGAAATCAATTTTTATATTTTATTTTGTAATAGAATATCAATAGCTAGATGTCTGATTGATACTGTATTTTTGCTTAACAGTTGCCCTTTTCAAGAAGCAAGGTAATTTATTAAATATTCGATGGCTGAAAGGAAATTTTAATCGTTATTTGGTTTACTAAACCATTACTAATCAATCTTTTTCTTTGGTATTCTGACATCTGGCGGCAGGCAGTAAGTCTTTAATTAACGACGAAAATCAATTTTTTGTATTTTACTTTGTAATAGAATATCAATAGCTAGATGTCTGATTGATACTGTATTTTTGCTTTACAGTTCCCCTTTTCAAGAAACAAGGTAATTTATTAAATATTCGATGGCTAAAAGGAAATTCTAATCGTTATTTGGTTTATTAAACCATTACTAATCAATATTTATCTTTGGTTTCCTATCAACTAGCTCCTACTTCCGGCTGTAAGTCTGCAATTAACTACGAAAACCAATTTTTATATTTTATTTTGTAATAGAATATCAATAGCTAGATGTCTGATTGATACTGTATTTTTGCTTAACAGTTGCCCTTTTCAAGAAGCAAGGTAATTTATTAAATATTTGATGACTGAAAGGAAATTCTAATCGTTATTTGGTTTACTAAACCATTACTAATCAATCGTTTTCTTTGGTATTCTGACATCTGGCGGCAGGCAGTAAGTCTTTAACTAACGACGAAAACCAATTTTTTGTATTTTACTTTGTAATAGAATATCAATAGCTAGATGTCTGATTGATACTGTATTTTTGCTTTACAGTTCCCCTTTTCAAAAAGCAAGGTAATTTATTAAATATTCGATGGCTGAAAGGAAATTCTAATCGTTATTCGCTTTACTAAACCATTACTAATCAATCTTTTTATTTGGTATTCTGGCATCTGGCAGCAGGCAGTAAGTCTTTAATTAACGACGAAAACTAATTTTTTATATTCATTTCAATGAGAAATTTCGTATGCTTAATATTTGACTGATACCGTATATTTTGTTTTATAGTTAGTTTTTTCAGGAACGAAGGTAAATGTAAATTACTAATCCACCTGATGCTGAGGAGATTGCATAAATCAGGCTGGCAATCATTACAACACAAATTCACTTATCTTGATCTGGTATTTTAAAATTAGATGCCTACAACAAGAAAGCTGATAAGCTCACAAATCCTAAAGGTAAGCTGTTTCAAAATTGGTAAAAGATTTTCTAGCTGCGGTAGTGCTTCAACTTGATTTTATGATATCTCCTTATGTTTGATATCACCAATGTTTGCTTATTTTGTTGTGACATCTAGATTTGCTACGTAATTTCAACTTTCTCCTTATATCTTACTGCTCCTAGTAAATTTTAGAACAGTTTAATCTTAACTTATGAGGATGTGATTTATAGTAATAAACTAATATACAGATAAATTTTTCAAAAACAGAGGTGTGCCAATTTGAGAAATATAAAGAAATCAGTCCTGCACTTTTGATTAAATGTTGCAAGAAATATTCCTACGTCTTGAGTACATCTAAACTTAAGCTGGTTGATATCAGTTCTAAGATTACTAATTTGTGATATTAATTTCTTTATTTATGTCCTTCATTTTCTATAGCTTCTGAAAGCTTAGCTATATGCGCAAGGCTTATCTGGTGAACGAGCTTTAAATAGGTAATATTTATTTACCAATTTGCTTTAGTAGCGACCTATAGTCCACCTCTTACAAATCTTGCTCTTCAAATTTTTATCAAAGGTTGCTTGACTACTAATTATGAGAGGCACAAACTAGTTCATTTTACACGAATCTGAAACTTGACGCTAGATCATTTTGAGATAGAATTAAATTGTTATATGGTAGTCTATACGCAGTGCGGTGTATTTCTGTATATGGCATCTGACTTTATAGTACTGTAAAGCTACCTCTAGGCGTAAAGTAAGCAGTAATCTTATAACTTTCATTATATAGGCATATATGGTAGCATATATACAATTCGGGCCATAAACTGTTCTTTAACGGAATAATTCGTCAATAGAAGCAGTACTAGTACAAAATTTTATTTCTGTATTTGTTATGCACATTAAAGGCCGATTTAGTCGCTTGCAAAGCGCTAAGGCGTAAGCAATATTTTAATACAATTAAAACTTCTTTTATAGCGAAATAAGAAATACATGTCCCATTGTAGCATCGATTAATTTAAATGGTAGATTGGCTGGAAATTGTTGTCAATTTCGTCTTTACCCATAATTTTAAGATGTGCCACTTTTCTAGATTTTAGCTACGTCAATAGTAACTCGAATTATTCTATTTATTATAGTAGATCGCGCTGGCATGGCTGCACCCGATAAGATTGAATATATAAATGAACCATAAAGTAGACGATTAAGCACTTGCTATTTAAAATTCAAGAATCAAATAACAAATTTTACTTTGTTAAGCGATAGTAGATGTTTTGGTGTAATTAGGACAACAATGGAATACATTTGGGTAACCATTTTATCTAAATCTTCATCAAAACTCTATTTATGTAGTTGTCCCTTTATAGTGATATTCTATTCGTTGCATGTATCGTTAATCTCAGTGTACTGTAAGTTATAAATAGCGCTCTTGTCCAGGAATAACTGATGTACAAGTACAATAACGTCTTCATGTTATCAGTATTAGCCCGAATGTAACCATCAAAGCTATGTAATTATTGTCGTAGGTGTCATAAATCGAAATAAACCATACGATTAACTGTAACTTTCTGTCAAATATTTTATGTGGTGTTTTTCATAAAAAAATGAGATCATTAGTTGCATCGAACCTACGATATAAAACAATCAAATAATCAACGCTAGTTTCGCAAATAGTAATCTACGTTTTACTATAGGTACAGCACAATGATCAGCATTCATGGATGACCACCTGCGATAAAAATTTTATAGGGATAATCTATATTGTTGACAAACTAAAATAATGATGAATGTATAGTGCAGTACTTTGATAAGATATGTTACAGGATCATAACGCTAAACAGTCACTACGGATATATGAACGGTAAGTTTTAACGCAATCTAGATTGAACAAATTTAGAACTTGATAGTGCGTAGCTGTCTTCCAAAACCAAGTATGAGGCATATAAGGCAACATTTACAAGTTCTTTTAAGAAATGAGGCACGTAAAGAAAATTCTTAGAAATTTTGATTTCACTTATTCGCTTCTACTGTAATATATTCGCTCAGTAACCGCAGTACAAATATCCAGGATTAGGAAACGTCAGTATCATTCTCGTAATATACATTCTTTTTCAGACAATGAAAAAGTACATAACTATATCTCCTTGCACTTATTAATTACCGTTGCAACAAATCCTTTACGTAATTAGAATATAATCAATATTTAACTAGTAAACAAGGTACACAGAGATAGTTATGACTTATACAAAAATAGATGTTTCCTGTCGGAAAATTTCATTCCACGTCATTACAATAGTACATCCAAACAGAATTCTTCTATGGCATACTAAATGATATGTCCATTCTACTACACATTCTCAATCATAGACGCAATTTCCTTGATACGGCCAGCAAAGTTCTGAAGATTTAGAAGACTATAATCAATTTCGTTTTTATGTTAAGTTTATGCTTCAAATTATTATATTCTTAAATACAAACTGCATATACTGTCACTAGACAGTATTTACCTTAAACTCTGATAGCTCTAACTGCAAGTATTTTTTTCTTGTTGAACCACTTGGAAGAGCAATTGTTAACATAACTGTAACCAGTGGGGTATTCATATTAGGACATCGATTTGAAGATGTTGCGAAGGATAGCTTCCACTGCATATCAATCAACTTTAAGATAATTCAGAAATATTTTAAATTCGTGTACTTATCGATGATAGCTAACGTGTTCATTCTAATGGCAACAATCGCAAATGTACCTTTCCAATGCGTAGATAATTGCTTTGATATTGGTGCACCATTTTCCGATTCTGGAGAAATATTGATATATCATATTAGATGACCAGAAACAACCATATATTGATGGCATCATATTTAGCCACTCTTTCAGCATATCTTATTCTACATTCCTACTCCGAAATTAATGATATGTTTGCCAATCATTACCTCTTCAGTCCAAGCTTTACAAATAGAAGCTGAAGTTAAATTGCTGCATACAACACTTTGCTTGAAAATTTGGCTTAACATGGAATCATCTAGCTGTTCTGTATTCGCGTATCTAATAACGTATCAAGAAAATTATTTTAGTAAGGTCCCGTTACACAGTAGGCATACATGATCAACGACAACGGTTTCATCTGTAAATCATTTACTCGTTAACTTTAGCTGGTTACAAACAGCAGCTTTGATAACATCAAGATGTTATGAATTAGGAGTTTTACTTTCAGAGAAATTTGAATAGACTTAGAATTTAATATTTATTTAAAAAGGTATTAGCTACTTGCCGATAAGTGTATGTAATTGCATTGATTAAATTTTGGATGGCACTTTCTTGCACAGGTAATGTTAAAGATTCGATATCCTAACAGCAAAGGAAATAATTTAGGTTCGATAGTATTGTTAATTTAGGTATAAAAACGGCTGTGCTAAGATAAAATTTAAATTTAATAGTCATTAGTAATATTATGTACATAATTAGGTCGTGTTACTTCTTTACAGCAATTTAGAAGGATGGAAGTGACTTTAAAAATCATGCATTCGATATCTATCTTTAAAGGCTGTCATCTATTTTGCATCATGAATTTGTTCTGCAAGTAGATGAGATAAATCACTCGCATGCAAGCTTAATCTTCGTGTAATTCTGTCTATTCAGAGTTTAATACGTCGTAGTTAATGTACGATTTCGATTGAGTATTTGTGCAAATGAGCTTGATCCTAGTCTACCTTTAGCTCAACCAAGGTAAACACGTTGTAATACTAAAATTAAGCTTCAAAGTCTATGTCATTGATATTTCATCATCAATTCATACTACAGAGGGTAAACATTAACACTTTTTTTGAATCTATTAACAAAAGTATAATATCCCTTTTCACATCCTGTAATGCAGTATCCTGTGTCTTTGCTGAGCAGTCTTTGAGAAGGTATTTGAATTAAGCATGAAGTCTATTTTAGAAGGGCAAAAAGATTGTAGAGAGGACAGGCATCCATATTTGTATTGTAAATAAGCAAACAACAATATCGCTTATATGGCGGTATAGCTCATCGGCCATATCAAGATTGCGTTCCTGCTGGAAGGGTAGAATAGTTTACTGTCAATACTCTATGCGGTATTGGACTGTATTATTATTACAAACGACACTAAACCTTCGACATCAAGATGAATTCCTAGCAATTACAAGGTTTGCCGGTAAATGCTATCTGAAAGCCCATGAAGTATTAAAATGACTCTACGTATCGTCTGACTGACGCGATGCAAAGTTGTATCCATACGCCTATTCTGCTAGGATGACCAGTTTTGTACTTTATGATGCTTTACGCTCGCACCTTAAAACATAGTGTAGAAGCGAGGAAGAGTTTAATAATCTGGTCTAAATCTGTACCTTTGTATATCGACTGATGGAACATAGGCCAATCTTCCCACTAAGAAACAGGATAATATCATCACACTATATTGACAAGGAAATAACATTCATATCCGATTAGAACTGTCTCGATTGCTTTCTTGGTAGCTAAGCTGCTATATTCATTTTAATAATATTTACGACAAAACGCGGAAAGATCGATCGCTATTGGAATCAAGGTAACCTTTCCACATGCTAGTAACTTACCAATAGTTGCAGGAAATTGGATGGTAATATATTAGCCGTTTGAATGGCCAGATGAAATCCTAGATGAAATACGAAAAGCTGATTGTATATTACTTCGACACTACTGCAACTTGTCAACATACTCATCTTACTGCACTTTCAGCACTTGCTTGACCCATGGTCAGTAAAATGATGATGACACATGGATATCACGATAATAGTTGGTCTTACCTTCCGGTGCTTGCATGAATAACGCCATCTTTCTTCCGATGTTGGAGCGATGGATTGTAGGTAAGAGGCGGCGGATAAGTGGACGAGAAAAGAGTTGCCTACCAACTCACGGGCTTACCGTTCCATTGCCATGGCATTCTTATCGTTCGTCAATGCTGCATCCGTAGTTAGGTACCGTTCTGGCTTCGGACTTACTGCGATTGTAACTGATGGGAAAGACGGATGGTCTGCATTTGAGCAGCATTCTAGGCAAGGACTAGTGACATTAGTTTTGCTATTCATTTGGTTATTGTTCTGGCTTCGGAATTTCTTCGATTGTAACTGACTTGAAAGATGGATGGTCTGCTACACTACCTACTGCAATTAGTGTGGATAAACGAATAGTGTGGGTTCCTAATTAGTGTTACCCACATTAAATATGGTATTACCAAAAATGTGCTAAACGATCCACACTAAATATGGTAATACCAAAGATGTGCTAACTACCTACATTAATCACTAATTGCCGTGCCCAGTGTAGTGAGCAGCATTCTAGGCCAGGACTGGTGACATTAGTTTTGCTATTCATTTGGTTATTGTTCTCATGTTCTGGCTTCGGAATTTCTTCGATTGTAACTGACTGTCACAACCCTCACTTGTGGCAAAGGAAAGTCAAGAACTCTAGTGTAGTTACTTAAAACTTGGGCTATTTCTCCCAGTACTTTCAGTTTCTATGAGAGAAGTATTTGAGATCTCGATTTCTCGGCTGATCTCCACAGACAACTGACTAATTATTACACTATTCTTCATGATATGAGTCTTGCCGTTTCTTGAGCAATTACTTTTTTTATTCTACAAACACACGCGCTTAAATAGGTTTCTACAGTGAATTCCAATATTAACGAGTGAGAATTCACGCTTTACAAGTTACATTAATTAGTATAATACCATTACTAAATGTACATGTCGATATTCTCAGACTTAGATAGCTACAAGCTATCAGGTGTTAAGACGCTTAACCTTCATCCATATACAGCTCAATTTTTAGAGATTAACATACCTTATAAACCTACAGTAAATTAACTGCTAACAACTTCTATTTTTATCTCATTTCTACCATCCTATTATCAGCTACAAGCGCATTAAAACATAGCACATAACCTTATCTTATCTATTCATAAGCATTCATTAATTTACAGTTACTTAATTAGTAACGGCGTACCGTGACACTGACATGAAAGACGGATGGTCTGCTACTAAGTAGCATTCTAGTCAAGAACTGGTGACATTAATTTTGCTATTCATATAGTCTTTGTTACGGCTTCGGACTTTCTTCGATTGTAACTGATAACGAACGACGGATGGTCTGCTACTGAGCAGCATTCTAGGCCAGGACTGGTGACATTAGTTTTGCTATTCATTTGATCATTGTTCTGGCTTCGGACTTTCTTCGAATGTAACTGATAGGAAAGACGGATGGTCTGCTACTAAGCAGCATTCTAGGCAAGAACTGATGACATTAATTTTGCTATTCATATAAACCTTGGACAGGTGTACTGATAGGAAAGACGGATGGTCTGCTACTAAGCAGCATTCTAGGCAAGAACTGGTGACATTAATTTTGCTATTCATATAAACCTTGGACAGGTGTACTGATAGGAAAGACGGATGGTCTACTACTAAGCAGCATTCTAGGCAAGAACTGGTGACATTAATTTTGTTATTCATATGGTCATTGTTCTGGCTTCTGACTTTTTTGGATTGTAACGGATAACGAACGACGGATGGTCTGCTACTGAGCACTGAGCAGCATTCTAGGCAAGGACTGGTGACATTAGTTTTGCTATTTATTTGGTCATTGCTCTGGTATGATGTAAGATTGAGTGTAAAGTATCGATACAGTTCCACATGATCACAGTCTAGTTTTATTACCAAAAATGGATGATTCATTTCCCGCTGCAATTCTAGAGTCTCGCAATACTACAACGTATAGTATACAGAGTACAGTACTGTATCCTGTATCGAGTGACTGTACACTGTACGGTATTGTACCGTACTGTACAGTGTACAGTGTACAGTACAAGAAGTTAGTACTGTAATGATACTGTACTGTATGAGCCTGAGGTGAAGCAATCGACAAGGCCGCTGCCAAGACTAAAATGCCGCAAAGAAAGCTAATTGCTAGTTCGCAATCAATTCAGCTCAAGATTACGGTTTAGAAGAGACTATTCAAGTTGATTGATGTTCATCATGAATGCTAAGACTACTAGTAAATCACCTGCTGGTAAAAAGAGAGATTATACAACTTGGAATAGCGTTGATGATGACCTCCTTATTCCAAATAAGTCGATGGTAGCTTTCAACAAGGCATGCCAAACCATGGGTAGGCAAAAAGTGGTCGAGGAGTTGCTTGATGGTTACTCTTTAGGTTGCGGCTTTTGCTATCGACAGCAATTCTATGCTAAAGTAACTCTAATCAAGCAACAAGGTAATTGCTTGATATAAGTCATCAGTCATTCTTGGCTTGCTTGATCTACTTTACCAATGGATTTGAATGTAGCCGTCGCCGGCTCATGATTGTTGCTTGTCTCAGCTGAAATGGTTACGAGCGTGAGAAGCTGCGATGCGATTGTTTATTTCAATTCTTTTCCACTCTCAATAGATCGCTTAGAAATTCCCTCTTCTATTCGATCCGATGCAATATATGTCAACCCTGCTACAATGAAAATTTGTAAACTCGTTCTAGCTGGACCAGTTGTTATCCAGGCCCGCTGTAATACTGATGTAAATGTTGTAGTTTATTTCACTATAATGTTATTGCTATTAAGCAGTATTCTATTGCAGCTGTGATACTATAGTATTGCAGTCACATGCATGATGTTCCTATTTCATTCATTGCATTTTAACTAATATATCTTGCACTCTCTGGTATATTTAGAATGTGTCCGTTGGTATTGCTTGGCCCTCGGAATCCATTCCGCCAGATTGTGAGTGTGATAGGGAGAGAATTCTTACTGAAATAAATTGTAGACATGGACGCTGAATGAATGCCATTCAATAAAAGCGATTGTAGATCGTATTTTGCTGATCAAACGTTACAATTTTTGATAGAGTTGGGCATGTTGTTCCTCTTTAAAGTAAAAAATTAGGACAACATCTTACGTACATATTACTAACAAAATTATTTGTATTCCATTGTAGGCATAGCAATCCATCCAGAAATGATGAGCAGCATGAAGGTATACGGGGTATATCATTATAATGAATCAGTATGCTATACTTAGAGTACAACTTGTTTATAGCTTAAATTGGCCAGTGTGTCGTAAGTATCAACGTAAAATAGATAATATAAGTGCTCAGAAAATCTGTTGTTAGCTCATACTGGCTTTGTATTGCATATCAGAAATAATCATTTCCACTTTAGTTACAGATTCAAGAATTGGCATGCTTAAAGCCTGCCGCAAAATCTGTTATTTACGCGTCAGAAATTGCAATTAAGCCGATGTGAGTTTATTTCACTTACGTACTTGAAAGATTTCGTTGCTTATTAAATTAATATGATAAAAATTTTTCAACAACTACGAATATTCATTTCTTATATAAATATATATGTATTGGCTACTTATCATACAGATTTGATCATGATGATATCCTAAATAGCCAATCTTTGTTATACGGCGATACCAAACAACATTTAGGTAAAAATATTTACTAGTCTAAAATATAGAAATTTGGGGGATATCATTATGGACATTTTATTACACTTGAACTGCCCATTTTATCTCACTTAAAGACGGCAAGTATTTTCTTCCTGGTAATCGATTCCATATTTGGTTAAATGGTAAAAGTTACCAGTATGAAGTTTCGTACCTTCAAGGCATTCACGGCCGCATTCAGTTACGAGAGCAGGCAACTGACTTAGGTTATATCATTATTTTTTCTAGTTCTAGTTACAGTACCATTTCAGCTTTTAAAAATTGCTTGCCTTTTCATGATAATCTTTTATAGGTTTTACTATACATTTGGGTGCAAACACCCCAAGATATACGAACAAGTATTTACTTACTTACTTTATACTATAGATTTAGTAAACACGAAAATATCGAATATAACTGTATCGGTGAAAGAAGGCAAGAAAGGTGGACAACGGAAATTGCTCCACAATACCATATATTCATTTGACTTTATCATTTCCATTTACTTGGCTATCTTTATAACTTATCTAATTAACAATTCGCAATTATTAGAACCGTCTGTAATCCAGAATTCTAAGTTAACTGTGGTAAATGGAGATGCGGTGACAAAATATGATGCAATGGACCATTTCTTATACGTTATAAAGATCGAGCATACACAATTGCGGCTTATTGGAATGACTGATATGAGCTGTCAGGTAATTCGATAAAGCGGATAGACGAGCCAATGATGCCTAATCCTGTTTTGCTCTTGTTTCCTTATTATTATTTCATTTTATTACTTGCTAGACCGATAAATTGGTAACTTTTAATGAAGTCGGCGGTTTGAAGAAACAAATCCGAATGATTAAAGAAATTATGGATTTTACGACAATTTCTGGCGATCATGGCAGCAGCTTAGGTAAATTTATGACAGCTTTTTATGATACCGTAGGTAATATGAAAAAATATTTTTGATACTTCTGTAGGTATTATGAATGGAATTTTATTGCATGGGCCATCTGGTGTTGGTAAGACTCTTGTTGCCGAAGCTGCCGCTAATGAAAGCGGAAAAACATCCTTTCATATTAATGGTCCTGAGATTTTTAGCAGGTGCAAGATGAAGATCGTATTGCACAAAATAACTGTAATATTCAATGGTAGAATATGGCTTATTTTAAATATGTTACTTGTAACCTTTAGGCTGTATGGAGAAAGTGAAGCTAAGCTGAGAAGAATATTTGATGACGCTGTACACAGGTAAACGTTGACATGATAGCGTTATAATAATTAAAGGGCATTGATTACTGCTGTTTCATGGCCATTTCGAAATAGAGCACCAAGTATTATTATTGTCGACGAATTGGATACCATATGTCCAAAGAGAAGCTATACCCAAAATGAAGTTGAAAAAAGAATTGTAGCTACCTTTGCTAGCCTACTAGATCGAATTTCAAAGGTAAACTTTTGAACCAGAGATTTTTGATTAAACATGCAACGCAGATCAAAGTGTTAGTGACGTTATAAATCGGACTAAAATTATTCTTAATACTCTCCTAACATGCTTAATATTCATATCCTTCTGTACTTCGAAAAAGTCAAGTGGTTCAGAACGCGTTGTTGTCATCGCTAGTACTAACAGAATCGATGCAATTGATACAGCATTAAGAAGACCTGGTCGTTTTGACAGAGAGATCGAAATTAGTATACCTAGTATTGATGACAGAAAAGAGGTATAGTTGAGAGCATCTTCAATTAAAGCAAAATTGTTAATTTTTATACTTAACTAATAGCTAGATCTGAATTCTAGATATTGCAAAAAATATTGGCCAATGTCCAACATACACTGTCGGATCAAACCTTGACAAGGTGATCAATGTCGAATAGGCTTGATAGTTGATTGCATATTACCATTTTCTTATTGCTATTGGTAGTAAATCTGACTTCATTCACTTACACCCTCCTAATTATGTAATATCAGCATCGCTGACTCTACTCATGGTTTCGTTGGTGCGGATATGCTGTCTCTTTGCAAGGAAGGTGAAAATCAGTGAATGTGCAAACTGATGACGTGACTCTTTTAAATACCCTTAAGATGTAAAAGCGTGCTTGTATGATTGAATTGTAGCTGCAGTGCTATCAATGAAGAGGAATACCAGCTTGGTAAGCAAGGGCTTTGCCGATAATTGAGATTTTATAGTTGAATTTCGGTTTAATCATTATTGCAACCCTGCCACTAATCCTCAAAACGGTAATACTTTATCAGCAGCTAAAAGATTTTGAAGGAGAACTAAGAATTAGTTTACAGCCTTCCGATTTTCTTTCTGCAATAACTAAGATCAAACCTAGTGCTATGAGAGAAGTTGCTGTTGAAGTACCAAAGGTGGTTATCACATTTCACAATAATAATTATAAGTCATTTTATCTGATGGTAGGATCGACACTATGGATCATGATTTTGTGTATTTGACTCTACAGGTTCTGTGGACTGATATTGGTGGTCAGCAAGAGATAAAGCAACGCCTCAAAGAATCCGTAGAATGGCCAATTAAACATCCTTCGGTCGGTATAAGCAAGTATTTTTTATGCAGATACCAAAGCGTTAGAACGTATTCTAATAAATAGTATTATATAAAATGTGCTTCCCTCCATGATAGACTTTTAGGCGGTTAGGTGTTAAACCCCCTAAAGGGATTTTACTGTACGGTCCACCAGGATGCAGTAAAACAATGATAGCTAAAGCCTTAGCAACAGAAAGTGGTTTAAACTTTTTAGCTGTCAAGGTCAAATCATAAGATTTCAATACATTATAGTATAGTACTCGTTTGATATGCGAATGTATTGAATACAAATATTTAGGGGCCTGAGTTATTCAATAAGTGGGTTGGTGAATCTGAAAAAGCCGTTAGAGAAGTAAATATTCGTAGTTACAGCAATATTATTGCGAATGACCATTTTAATTACTATATTGAAATCAGCTATTTAGCAGTTATGGAAAATATTATGATAGGCACATTCGATCTTTATTCACAGTCAAATAGTAGCATTCTTTTAATTTGCTGACGGATAATAGTCATTTATCTAATAAATTCTTGCAGCTATTTCGTAAAGCTCGGGCCGCATCCCCCTCAATCATATTTTTCGATGAAATTGATGCCTTGGCTGCTCAACGCGGAAGGTATCTTCTAGGACAAATATAAGATATTGTAAAATGTGTAGTCAATTAATATAATCGACGTCATCGTTTCAATTCAAGTGATGGAGCAGGAGTTGGCGATCGTGTGCTTACACAGTTATTAACTGAGCTGGATGGAATTGAACAGTTGGAAGATGTAACGATAGTAGCAGCTACAAATCGACCTGAGATGATAGACAAGGTGATATATGTAGTGATGTTTTGCACTCTATAATTAATACTGATGTACTCAACTAGCTTTCACTCTAACCGACAGGCTTTACTGAGACCCGGTCGTATTGATCGTATATTGTATGTCCCTTTGCCTGATAGTGAAACCAGGCATGAAATTTTAAAAGTCAGTCTTAACTACTACATTTCGGATAAGAATAATTATTGCCACCACAATGAGTAACTTTATTATTTTTTAGATTCAATTTCGTAGAATTCCAGTTAATGATGATGTTGACATAGAATATTTAACCCTTAAAACTGAAGGATTTTCTGGCGCAGAGGTTTGGATATTCTTAATTTTAAGCACTAGTAGTGATATCGAAATTTATTGTTTTCATGCGTTAATTGAACTAGGTGGCCTTGCTGTGTCAGGAAGCTGCCTTTGCAGCTTTGCAAGAAAACATCGAATGTGAACGTGTTTGTCGTCAGCATTTTATTAATGCTTTAAATATGGTTGTTCCAAGAACATCGCAAGCAGCTATAACACAATATAAAAGTTATTATCAACAATCTGGCCTATACATGATTTAATCCAGAATCAGCATTATAAAATAGTTCTCTTTATATCATGTGCTTTAAAAAGTACCGTAGAGTATAATCTCATTTATATTTTAAGTAATGAAATATGAAGATTAGACCGCACATTAAATAATTTCTGTATTTGTATTTACTGCTTTTAAAGTAACAAGATTTATAGATTATTAAGCACAGATTATAGATTTACTCTAAGTATTTATAAATGGTGAACGTTCGCACGATTATTGATTGAGGCTATTTAAGGTCAGACGTGTCAATACTGCTGCGTGTAGTTCAAGTGCCTAAAGGTAAACATAAACATATGTAAACAAATTACTGGATATTTTGTTAGATACTAATTCGAATTGGTTTGGCGATTGTAGCTAATTATGATGCAGAACTTTATTCAACGAAGCAATTTCTATTTGTTTATGGTCTACGTACAATTTCATGTAGTCCTAAGTTTGCTGCGATATGTATAACTTGTTGCCACTGCCGTTGGGTTACACTGTGATATTTTTATCACAAACCATTCAATTGTGTTAATCGGGAAACACAGATTTAATGCTATTACTTTGTTATCATAACTGGCAATTACAAGACTTACGATATCTCTTGAATTACGAGAGGTAATAAATTCGAATTTGTCTCATCGTAGATGAACTAGTAAGATGAAAATTAGTAAAAGTTAAAGCTATGTTATTTAAGCAGTAAAGCTAACAAATCAATTCATTCTATGTTCATTTCCTCAAAAATTTAATTTTGTATACTTACTTGCAGCAGATTTTCAATAACATCCCATTTATTTAAGTCATGCAATAAATTAACAACCTACAGTATTATCAATCACGGACAGTAGGAGAATAATTATATTAGTAAGCATGCTGACATCTAAGAGTAGTGTAGCATGATTTTCTCTATCATGAATAAGAAAATACCTGATGTACTGAAAGTGGAGCAAAGCTATTTGATTCTCTTCGGCATAATAATTTACTAACTTCGAATACAGGAAATTCGGATAACAATTGCGTAAAGTCTGTAATTTAATGTTTCAGCTTGAAGTTATTGACAATGGTTAAATAATCTCGTATATTTTTATCATGGTGGTTACAAATAGACTCGATGGTAAAGCTGTATTTCAGTTCATTGTATCAATAAAGAATTTCTAGGTTATTATAGCAATTGAAATCCAAAGAGCATACAATATGAACGGGTAAAATTTATAAATTTTTTGCTTTACCTTTAATTGTATAATTAACTTCTTGACAATATGCAAGTAGATTCTGATATAGGCCACGCTTATGGTAGCAGTGAGTAACTTTTTTGTGACATTCACATTGTGAATAAATACTTTGAGCCAGTGTCACATACATGGTATATTTTCTAAACGGATGAATAGCCCTATTAACAAAATCGCTATTTGTAGTATTTGAAATATCGCTAAATACTTACTTAAGATCGGTTTCATTATTAGAGAAGCTTAAGATGATATCTCCCATGACTTCGCTTAGAGTCAACTATTGATGGAATCAATATTAAAAAATCAAGCCCTTACTATCATTTCTCAGCATTACTTTTTTGCTAATAGCTATATATAGTATTTGACAATTTAGCGCAACATATTTTCTTGGATGAGAAATAAAAATTTCATATTTATTAATTACGAATGAGTACCAAAGATGATACTAGTACCTGTCCTTGGGCAATCCAGTGGACAACAAGATCATCTCTTCCTATAACATGATTGATAAAGGATCAGAAATGACTTCAAGATAGGAGATGCAATGAAACTCTACTTTTGCAATTTCATCAGCTCATCTTAACTCTCGTCAGTTGAAGAACTGCTAGTGCATTGCAACTACTCAAGTAAACAGACGATATCATATATCACAACTATTTAAGAATCCACGCGAATAAAGATATGGACCTTCAGTTAAAGCACAGTTGATGTACTCGATGGAATCATTTACAGTTGGTCTGTGGCTAACCGCTTCCGCAGAAGACATAATCGCTTCGCAATATGCTAGCAAGGGTGATCTACAGTATAATATCAAAATAACATATGCATTTTAATTGTTAGAAAAGGCCGTTTACATTAAACTATTACAGCCAATTATTGCAGATTATCTTTAGGGAAATCTACATAAACATTGTACTGCTCTTGCTGATTGATATTACATTGAGAGATACAATCCCTTGGAAGTATGCTGTGAAATGTAATTTACCTGAGTGCTTATTATAAAGATATTAGCTTACCTGCAACTTGCTTGTTTTTTCGCTTCTTTAAATCGATTCAAAGTTTGCGTCGTCCTTAGAACTCCCTGATCAAAATTTAAAACAATTTATTACACTTTCTAATTGTTAGCGTTATTATCTACTTCATACATGATAGAAATTAGACACTAACCCTTGGAGAATTAGCAGCATGGATAGCGGCCTGTTCATAATGCTTATCCTGAAATAGCTAAAAAAATAATAATTGTGAAATTGTATGAAATATAAGGCATTACATTATTATTTTCGTTAATGATTAGTGGTGTAGCCGAACTTCCTAAGGCTACTGTGATAACAGGGAATTACATACCACATTAAAGGCTTCAATATATTCCAAAATAATTTCAGCTTCTTTTTCCTTTGTAGGATCCTAAATGATGTTATAAGGTTAAACAACTTAAACTCTCGTAACTATATTCCGAAGCAATTACATGTTACATGCTTAAACTGCGGAAGGATCATTCTAATACCATGGATAAATATAAATTCCATATTTCAACTTTATATTGACATCACTGTAGTTAAACAATTTTAATAATGAATAAGTAAACAATGAAACTTACGTCCTCATCAAATAAATTACTTTTGGCCATTTGCAGATCATAAGTTCCGTGATAAGATTCTAACATGGTTAATTTATTAAAGTTTTACAACCATACCGCATCATTTTAACAAAATAGTCGTACTACTGCGATAATATTAGTCTTTAGCTCATGTAACTTCTGCAGATGTCATAAGCTTTACCATACATTGTTAGAATGTTCGAAAACATATAATTATAGATATGAAATGAACATTGTGATATAGTGACCAGGCATTCTGGATTTAAAGTTAGGATTTAATGATAAAAAAACCTAACGTACCTATAACGTTTTTGAGAACTTTTAAAGTAGACTCAAAATCAATTAAAGACTCATTGGAACCACTTTGTAATAAACAAGTCTGCAAAGCCTTGATTACAAATAAGTATCAGAACGATAAAATGTTTAGATAAATCAATGGTGGTTTAAAAGTAGTAATTTCTAATAAAATGGGCTTATATGACGAATATTTACGAATAATATGCAGGCATAAAATTTCATCTTTTACCTCACTCGCTACTTTATACATATGCCCCTTAATGGCTAATTGCTGATGATCATCGACAATGCCTCGATAATTATCCTATGTTATGAACCAGGTTATATCCCACAGACAATAAAATATTTTAAAAGATCATATGAGTTACTGTTGCTATGCTTTTCTCCAATTCACACAATTAATATGATTTCATCAATGCATGGATTACTTAGGCGTAATTGTACCTCCTTAGTCGCCCACTGCTTCTTCAGGGTTGCTTGAATTTCTTTAGAAGCAAATCTATCATATGAATTTGTGAAATAATGTTTAAAAGTTTTAGATACAAGTTTTATCAACTTATTGATGGAGAGAATAAATTGCAGCAATTTTAAATATTTCTTACTTTATATTTTCTGTATCTTTTATTTCTTGAATATCCGATTCGCATTTATCTAACTATAGCACACAGATTACCAAATTAAATGTAGCGAATAAATGCAATGATGTAACCATATTGTCTTAGTTGAATATTTACTTCCTGCCGTAATGCTTTAACATTATCAACGTCCTTTTTCGATATTCCTGGAGCATATCCCAAAAAATTTTTTTCAAGCTTGGTAACTACTTTCTTATTAATTGTCCTCATTTCTGAAATAAAATAAAATCTCAGTAACCATTTATCACTAGCATTTCTAGGTATTTGCTTAGAAATTAAAATACTACTGCAATTTTTGGCTCGTTGTTTTGGATTATAAAAGAAATACTATTTGTTTTGTAAACTAATAATTGATATACCTCGGTCTTTACGGATGATATCATTCCTCTTTTTTCTAGGAATATAGGTAAAATCATGAAATTACTATATGCAATTAGCAATACGAAAGCGTAGTGATCAAATTTCAAAACAATTAGTTGCTGATTACGTTTCTTCCTCCATCGCAGCTCTTAGCCTATGTTTTAAGTTGGTAGGAGCGATGAAAATGATTAATTTATTATAAACAATTAGTAAAAAATTACGGAAATAATATCGATGCACTATGATACCGTTTGTTGTCAGCCTCGATATAATCTAGTTTTTTCTTTAATTCTGCTTCACGTTTATAATAATTTCTTAATTGATAAAAACATTGGATCAAACATTCGAATAAAGAAATAATAATATATTTTTTAAAACTGCTCAGATCACAATCTTAAAATCTCTGAATTAGAAAATTGAAATTATTACCCTAGAGTAGCCTGAGTGTAAGTTAAAGACTTTAGTTTAGACGCAGATAGTATGGCCTCTTCCTTTTCTTGTTCTAAATGATCGATGACATTTTCGTATTGGGCCTATATTTTTAAATAGCCAAGTTAATGCCATGTAAATTTTAAAATACTTCTACCAGCTTTTAAAAGGTGTCATTTTGTTATCTAACGCTTTTACAGCACCTTAATAATAGCAAGGATATCTTTATAGGATGTAACATGTTCAAGTAGGTGTCCTAGAACTTGCTTATGTACCAAAAACCTCTTCTAAAATATCAGTAGACGGATCGGTTAAAAGTACTGTCAAATTTTATGATATAAAATTTGCTGCAATCTGTATGATCCTTTCAAAAGTATTTATTTTACATATCTGTAACAAGCATATCCTATTAAAGCAAACTTATTGTTCGAAATAAGACTCATTTCATCAAGTACGTTTCCTATTACTTACTTTTCTAGATTGGTGATCAGAGTTCGACGTGTTCTTGACTTTTTCTAATTCCTATATTTAATGAAGCGGCAATGATGCATTGTCATAAAAGTTACTGATTAAGCAGATTATATTGAATGTAAAATAAATGACTTTAATACCTAAAGTACCACTCATAAAATAAAATGTTAAAGTTCTTATACCTGGTCTAATATATTTTGAAGACGTTTAATAGATTGCTTTTCTTTATCTTCAACTCTATCTTCTCCATGGTCAAAGTTCCCTATCTCATCAATAATAGGAGATAATAGTCTCGGTCTTTCCCTGGGTACTTTAAAGTTTTCCATACTATTTTAATTAATGCAGAAATAAAACTTTTAGTACATGTTTTACGTTATATACGATAAGTTTAAATCATCACCCAAGCTTTCGTATTGTAATGAAAAATCGTGTTAGTAATTTATGTCATTAGAGACACATTAGATTAACTAATAATTTAATGGGTATTTCTATGTCTTTAATGGGAAAACTACTTAATGGATACTACGACATGATTGAAATAATATTCAAATGTCTATCGTTTCAGAAATTGTACTGCGAGTGACGTCCTGATACTCATGCTAAATAAACGGTTGGGTAATAAAAACATGGCTATTACAGACACATCATTGAAAAAGCTCTATACTTAATGAAAGGAATAGGGATAGCGTTTGATAATCCTAATTTTATGATATTTAGAAGAAGGTATTCGTACAAAATCTAAGAAACACAGGCAAAATTTTTGAGTTTTAACCCGCATTTATAACCAATGAACGTGCTTGATGATTACCACTATAAACAACACAAAATCGAAAATGATAAAAGTTTACTGCCCGACATGTATTTTATAGCGCCGTGCCTACTATGCAACACCTAATGTTGACTATTCCCTCATCATTAGCAGTCCTTAATAACTAGCTAGTTACAAACCCAGATTTTACTGAAATATGAATCAATTTCATAATAATTTAGCTACATAAAGCATTACGGTATTTTGCATTTCTTAGATGGGGTTCCAAAAGTATACAAACTTTCATGAAGATAATGTCATATCATAGAAAAATAAGTTATCGTTTAATTCTAAGAGACTATTATCAAACGATAGCAATGTTAAGTTTATTACTAAAAAGCCATTCTACATAAACCACAAGCGAATTACATTATTTTCTACGCGTATTTTAGAGAATAACAAGACAACAAACTTATATAACGAATATTAAGACGTTGGTTTAAAGGCTGATAAAATGGCCCGAAATATATATACAACAATTTTACTAACCTACCTAATTCCAAAGACGTTGTGTTGCAGATTACTTGTTCAAGCTGTTTTGAAGTGAATAGATTGGCTAATGTACCTAACAAATTTCATTAATCAAGGACATGATAACCCATGATGAGGTTTTGAATTCTGTCAATATCCACAAAATGTTAATAAAAGATGACAACCTCTATCATTGCAAGAATACTGCTGCCTCTATTAATAATTATAATTGACTTTACCCGTTATAATAATCATTAGAATCTGTGGTGCTTCCATACAGTGGTTGTACCAGAATGCGGCATTAACTTTGAAAGGTTGCCATGATACAGACGGAGTTTGCGTATTAGCGTTCTTTGTCTATAAGCGTACATTACAGTACTTCTATGCTGGAATCGGAACGAGCATGCGTAGACGGAACTCCTTCCCATTCCCTGGTTAATGATATCAGTTAATTAATTAATCACCGAATTTCTTAAATTTTCTTACTAACTTACCGGGTTGGAGGTTTTTAGGGGTGATTATGGTCATTAAAGCAGCTCTAGTGGAAGACTAAAATTTGTAAAGGAAAATAATTATATACGCGTAATGATATGATCATGTGAAATTGAATGTAAACCATATCCATACCTTAGAATTAAATGGAGTACTAGTGGATATTCAACTCAAGTATTCTTATCGATCACGCATCATTAGATTGTTAAATATAAAAATTTACTTAGCAGTCAAAATGTACGTTCGAAAATGATACATTTGTAAAGTCAATTAACTATAAATGAGTCGTTAAATCGACTGAAAATGAAAGATTAATTCTCTCCATAGATATAGTGGTTCTATCATGGAAATGTTTAAGAGAGTAAATCTAACTTGGATATAGTAGCATTGTAAATTTTTTAATCTCCTTAATCTTGACTTAGGCTTATTACATATCTAGAGGCCTAATACATTGATCTATTGCTAACTATTTCCCATATTTATTGAAGTAATGCATTAGTAGAGCTGTAGTTGATTGGATTTTACTTCTATTTAGATAAATATACCTTAAAGCTTCATCTGCTGTAGTATCGTTTTACTATAGCAAATAAGGCAGGATAAAATACTTATAAAATGATTCTTGTATGATTTGAAAATTAACGATATTGAATAAACAGTTTCAAACGTCGTAAAATGAATCTGTTTTTAGACGTTATAAGACCTAGCTTACTTCAATCCGATTAAATTGGCACTGATTGCCAAAGATATCAAAACAGCAATCCTATTTCACAGTTACTGATAAATACTTAAGAAATCCATCGTGGTAGTATAGATGGATAAGTATAAAATTAAACGGTAAGATAATTTCTATACCAATAGTTAATAAGATGAGGTGGCTCTAGTTTTAGTTCCTATCCAGAAGATTAAATCATAGCAAAAAGACTAAATTTACGAGATAAAGAGCACATTTATGCGGTTTTATGCTTTTTAGTTGACGATAGCAATAATAGAAATTATTAAGGTGCACTTTACAGCAAGAAAATTTAAATTATTAATGGTATTATCCTGTGCGTTTATTTTAAACTCTTCAATTATGAAAATTTAAGCCGTATAAGCGAGAATATAGAAATGAAAAAAGCATTGGAAAAAGTGATTAATTGAATTAAAATTAACAGTTGGTTTGCCAGTGAAATAGTTATCTCATCTTCTTAAAGTAAATCGTAATAAATTTACTCTATTCCAAAGTAATATAATTTACCAATGTTAAGTTAGAAGTAATAATCAATAACATAAAGAATGATTATTTGCTGTACACTTTATAGTACTATACTAGGATATTAAATACACAGAATATTTCTTCTTGTTTAAGCATCTGTCAGTAATAATAATACAGTGCTTCGATTAACGAATCTTTACATCAATAAAATTTAATAGTTTACCATTTATTGGCATCATTAGTTAACCAAAATTTGAAAAATTAGTGATATGTACTTGATCCATTTAATATTTAGAATCAGTTTATTGGCGAATATTAACGTAACGTAATGCCAAAATTTTTATTGATGGCTTAAATGGATTTGTGTTGATATATGTACAGTTTAAAATGCAAAGACTCTACATTTTGAAGATAAATAGTTTTCTTAATCAAGCTTTATGGCTTCAAATGCCATTTTGAAACGTTATTCAATTCTTATATAACGTGAAGAAGAATCAGATTATAATACATACATTAAACATAATTAAGAGTTATTTCTCGTTAATATTTTGAGAAAGTGGCGTTCTAATTCATTTTAGAACAAGAAATTACTTTTCAACAGAAAAACAAGCATATTTTGATAAGATTATAAATTATGTAAAGAATAAATTCTGACCAATTATAAAATGTTAAAATTTCTCGGTATAACTGACGTTTTCATATAGCTGCGTCACGTTTCAAAATACTAAATAATCATAAACGTGTAGATCATTTTAGCATTGAATAACGAAACAGAAATATAAACCGATCAACATTAAGTAAGTAATACAGTATACGATAAAATGCCATCTTTTTAGCTGTCATGTTTCTAATAGTAAGGTATAACATTTATTATGGCCTCCTAGTATCTTCTATTGCAATTAAAGTAAAGCTCAATAGGTCTTTATGTTTGTATAATTTGTAGGATACATGTGTGTATTCACAAACGGGAGTCAAGATTATCACTTTTAAAAGTCTTAATAGAGGAAAATTTACAAAGTAAAGTTTTGTAGCCAGAATTAGAGTAATACGCATAGATTACATATATTGTTATTGAATATAGCTCGTTTCGTTTAACAATAATTACAAGTCCTGTAATTTACTAGAGAAATTCTTCGGTATCTCTTGGGTCCTCTGTACATGGAATTATTTCTGAAGCACTCATAGTCAAAACTGCTGCTGGAGGTGGAGCACTATCTAAAACAGTCATAAAACGTGGTCGATTATCGCTACCTTCTAAATTGATCGGTGGTAATGCTTTTTTCTCCTTTAAATTGATCGAAATTGTTGGTACAGTTAGCGTTGTAAGTGTTTGATCAGTTCTATTTGAATTTTGAAGAGATAACAACGATTTATCGTCGGATCTACTAAAAGTTTTTGATCTGTTCGAATAATTTCTATTAAAGCTTTCTCCACTGTCTTCAAATATATTACTTGATAAAGTGGAATGGCTATTATTTAGTGTATGACGAAGAAGTAAAGAAACATCGGATAGCGCTCGCCCTCTTCCCTGCTCTCTAATATCAGGTAATAGGTTGTATCTTTGTATGTTCCAACCTCTAGAAATTTGCTGGCGTAAGAATTTTTTATCGGTTTCTGGTTCTGTTTGCTGTGCATTATTTGATATTTCTTGAAGGTGGATTTTTTCTTGAGCTATCTTGGAGGAAGAAGAATTAATTGAAAGCACATTAGGTATAATCGATTGACTTTTCATGTTGTTGATTTCTCTCAATGTTCTGAGGGATATAATTAGGCCAACGATAATTAGATGATTTGACGACTTTGCTCAAGTCTGCCCGTAATTAACCAGTTTGTTTACTTAACTGAACATAAATGAGCGAATAAATTTGAATCTTTGATATCCACGGTATTGCCGAAACTGAAGGATGGGAAAGGATAGATTAATAATTATATTTTATTAAATGCTTTTGAGAAATGCTTTGAAATTTTAAAAATTCTATCATATAATAAATATTAAATATTAACTAAAATTCATTAACAGTAAACTATAAAAGTTAAAAGTACGCAGTAATAAAAAAGTTTTTACGGTATTTTGTAATTTAGTTTAATAATATTCTCTTCAATATGATCAGAAAGCTAATTTAAGATGATTTGATTCAATAATTCCTTAATAGAGTATAACAAGAACAATAGTTTACACAGATAGTAACGTTCATTAGTGGTAGAACAACTAAATGTCCTACTAATAAGATCGATCATGTGATTTATATATTGCAGACCGAAAAGAATATAGATTGTAAATACAAAGTAAGGATTGAATACGTATAAAAGACAGTGCTATTAATTAAGAATTGAAAACAAAGTAAATAATAAAGCCACTAATTTTAAAGTTTTATAGAATATTGTAGCTTGGGTCATAAGTCTTCTTTTAATATTAATTATTACAGCTATAGATCTTGTTATTAACATTTCACTGATAGACTGTCTTAAATGAATTAATTCTTTCTAATATCCCTTTTAATTAATGTCTTATTTAAATCGTGATTTTTCGATATTCTCTTATATAGGCAATGTCAGCTGTTTAATATGAAAACTAAAGAAATATTTTGAATATTTCTTAAAATATCTAAAAATTGTAAATTTGAACATAAAATTTGAAAACGTTTAAAATGAGTTGTTAAATGCCCTGCTAATGCTAGTAATTCAAGGTAAATAAATATCAGTTGAATTTCATGACTATATTTTTTTTGTGTTGTTTCTTCTGAAGGAATGTTATCGGCAAAAGGCTTCACGATTGTTTAAGGCTTATGTATTTACTATCATGGATGCTGGTATGATTTCATAACTCAATGCTTTTAATTTTATACTTCTGATATTAGCTATTTAGCCCGTACTAAAATCTCTGTCATATCCTATGAGAACTATTTTATTATCAATTCCTAAGACGAGGATACCTTTATTGTATGCTTTATGCCTATAAATTAAAGTTCATACACAATTTTAGATCGAATACAATTCAAACACTAAAAATAGATACCAGGTAGATGAATTGATCATAAACTGGCATAGAAATAAAATCTTCTTCTAGTCTTTTAGAACAAGTAAATTGCGGAGAAAAAAGAGATTGTCCCACGCTCATGAGTAATATTAGTAGTTAACTACATATTGTAGCCGATACCATTACTTTTTTAATACGTTAATATTTACTTATATGAATTGCTTTTTGAATTACCTAGTCAATGAATATGATAATAGCATAAAATGCTTATTTTGTGATAATTTTCTCTAATGATAAATAACATAGAAGGAACGGTATACAATTATAATGGCTGTACTGTCTTAATTAGTGATACAAACTGCTAATTTAAAATTGACACGTACTCTGTGGTAAAATTAGCTATTTAATTTTCTATTAATCCACACCGCTCACAAAGGTAGAAATAAAGTACCTTTACTAAATTTAGTTCTAGGTCAATGAATATTTAATATGATCTATAATAACAATTGACGAATTCTCTTTGTAAAGTATTAACTACTGAATCTTTAAGTGCTCATTAACATTTGAAATAGTTACAACTTTCTATCATTATGGTAGTAAGGTAAAAATTCTTGTTCAATTCACTAAGTAGTTCTGACGTAAGAAGTAAAGCTTTGCCTGATTTAGCAAGAATTAAGTGCGATCCTATCATAAGAAAATCAGTAAAACAAATTTTTAACGTGAAAACAGATTAGTTTATTATCGAATAAATCCTTCAAGATCGACGCTTACCTGTTAAAGCATACATTTATATAATTAACGATACAGCCAATATCCGATGTCCGTGTATATATATATAAAATTATTTGTGCAATTGAAATTGGCTAACGCCATTTTATTGACGATTTTTTTTACGAAGAGGAATGATGATTATTGGAATGCGTGAGCAATATAATATTATCGAGTAAACGTAGGTAGCAGGTTGTCGTAGTCATGTAAGCTCTCGAATTGCTTTCAGTATAGCTCTCAAATCAAGATATCGCTATTTGGGACAATTACTATCGCCTAGCCCATCTCGGATAGATTGCAATGTCTACTATCTATCTCAGATGGCTTACTGTCGGCGCTATTGAGATCATTCAACATTTAAATTACGTATGCAAAAGATATCGGTTTACGTCATTTCTGTCTTAAATTGACTTATATCAACGCGACGAACTAAAAGTTTTATTACTTCTTGATCTTAAATTTTTGGTTATTTCGGCTTAAATTCTTATAACATTTAATAAGTACATATACTGAATTATTGACGTACCGCACAGTACAAATTTCTTGTATTACTAATAAAATATAAAATACCGAAACCATGTTGTCTATTTTGAGGTAGTAATTGGAGTTAAGTATAATAGCTGTGAAATTTGAAGATTGGGTAATTAATTGCAGAAAAAATAATTCATTTTATCGGGACATAAGTGGCTACAACCAATATCAAGGCGTCGATTAGATTAGATTAATCAGTATAATTGGAAATTTTGATAATTTCCAGTAAGTTACATATTATTAAGCTATAAAATGCTTTGTAAATATAGCAATAAAATGTGAATGCATTGATTACGAACTAATAGAGTATTGCTACGATCTAGCAGATTTCAAATTGATAGGTCTTCATTACTCTATAACTGTGTCTAAGATGTTTTACTATCATTTTCAGTAAAGTAAAGACCTACTTTAATTTATGGAGAAGCTACTGCAATCGTATCGTATTAAAAATTACCTCAAATGTGTGGAAGTGCCCAGAGATATCTAGAATTCCACTAATTTTCATACTAGACTCGATTTATTTTATATTCTGCTTAAAATATAATTTCATAAAGGACAAGTAATAAGCTGTTATATACTATGAATATTTCATCGTTCGTAAATGGGATTTCAATAAAAATCCACTAAGTAAAACTACTTTATCTACTCATATACATACATAGTAGTTATGAAGTTACCTATACGATACACTACAATATTATTTAATCTTTAATTTAGATAGCATGTTTTTATCCAAAACCTTTGTTTTTACTCTTGTCTTAAAATTCGTGTATTTTATGAATAGAGATTACTGTTGTCTATAGAATTGCATTTGAAATATTTATCAGCGGAGAAAAAATGTTAGGATCCACGTCTAAAAATAGGTAACATTTATTTTAGCATGCCTGGTAGTACATATTTGAAGTAGTTTCAAATATCGGAAGTTCGTTTATACAATTTCTCTTAGATTAATATTATGTAAGTGATACTTTGGACTGTAACCATGGCAATTAATTAATACACCTGATCTCTCCCTTAACGTTTCATTAATACAGCTTACTATTCAATGGCATCTTATTCGTGTAGGAGTAATTAAAGATCTATGATTACTGTATAGAACTATTAAATGGTGCATCAACTGTTTAAACATTAATATCGCAAGTATATAAAGTTTCGTAAATAGAGTCAATAATATCTGTCTAATAGTATAAGCATAACTGGATGGATAAGTGAGCTCTGAAATAGCCAAAATAATGTTTTGAAGAGATACCGTTAATGATTCATAATTTATCTTTTCTTCTGAGTTTCCATATCGTAAATCACTTATGTACTGTGGAAAGTAATTTTAGTTCGCATTTGTATAATTTACGCCACAGATCCCGTCAGTATGGCCGTAATATAACACACAGAGAAAAATATATAAAGCGCATATGTCACAAAACAGCTTTGCAACAAGATAACGTAATTTACGATCAATAAGTCAATTCCTTGAACCACGTATCAAGGAACGATATCTCCACTATCACAAACACTTTTGCTCTACTAGCAGACTACATAAAGACTTAGACGCCTCGTATTTTACGTTAAACACTAAGTTTGAGAATCCACTTTATTACACGATATACTGCATTTATATATTATTCCTCAATAGTTCATGAGTCATAGTTAGTACGATTAACTTTGGAATCATTTACTGAATTAGATATTAATTTTAGCTACTGCTCCCTTAATGCAGACGACAGTATTTACGTACATAGACATCTGATGACTAATACAGAATAGTCAGATTACGATATGTCCTATCACGGAACATTTCCACGATAATTTACAATCTACCATGAGTAAGTTACAATCACAATGATTGGAACTGTAAGTAGATAATTTGCATTCTCCGTTATAACTATTAATTTCAGTATGTGTATATGTGTCACTGTGATAAAAAGTCAGCGCTATATTAAAACACAGTATCTCCAAATTAGAAGTTAACTAAATAAGGATAGGCTAACAGGATTGTCCTAAGATAGATATTTCTACTCTAATACAGTATATAACAATGTCACAGCATATAATTGAAAAATAGCAGAAGTTTAACCAAGGTTTAAAGAAGAATATTTCGGTTAGGATGTTTGCTGTTTAGCATTAACCAAATTGTTATAATTATTACAAGTTGCTACTATATTGTCATACAGATATGATTATCGATGGGTGCATCGGAAATTATGACTCATTTTATAACCGAATTTCAAAGAAACAAGTTACCGTTAAAGATTTTCAACGAATTAAAATTATGAAATTTCGATAAATTTTTGTTTGTGCCACTGTTACGAGCTAGGAATAATCCTAACTTGTAATAAGTTCTGGAGCTTGTTTCAAATTTGCGTTATTGTAAATTAGAATGCCATTGGGTTGATATTCCTAGATAGCTATAAATCAGGTTTAGCTCGCTTTACTTTAGAATCTGCATTTATACAGATTAT